CAATGCTGCCTCTGGGAAAGAGCGAATAACCTCTACATGCAGGGTTTTTGTCTTATCCCTCAGAGGTATTTGTCTCCCCACTGCCTCACATACACTCAGCTCTGAAGATACTTGACCCCAAAAGAATAGGCCAGATAGAGATGTGAGGATCTTTGAGTTGAAGCCCAATGCTGTTACTTTCTGGCACATAAAGGGCCACAATGTCTGGAAGTCTTTAGTAATACTGGAATCAGAAGACACGAATAAACAGAGGTCAAGGTAGTGCTTTAATCCCAATGGCATGTAAACAAACTCACTTTTAAAAGTTAGTGCTATTAACTCATGGATTAATAGTTTTTTTGGAGAACGTTTCATCAAAGACTGTGTGTCTAAATCTTGACTGTAATTTGTAGTTGGGTGCAGGGAGTTGCAGCAATCTTCCTCAACTCCCTCAGACTTCCAGGGAGTTGAGGAGGAGGATCTAACATGAGGACACAGAAGAGGCAGACCTAACCTCACCGTGGATATTTATTTCCTCCTTCTGCTTGAATAGCCTGAAAAGTCATCATTATTACAATCCTTGTGGGTCCCTGTGTGCCTCATTTCTTCACATGTAAAATTGGATAATGCAATTGTAGCATGACCTGTTGATTAAAGAATAACTTGCAAACAAAGCAGTGGGAGGAAATGCCCAGGCGTCTGGCAAGAAACAAGAAATGTCCTTTTTATTCAAATGTTATTTTAAAAGTTCAAGGAAAAAGACAAACAGTATGCTAGTGAAAGCATGTGGTAAAATGTTGAAACCACAGCACTTGGGCAACTATTAAACATGAACTCTGTCCTAGTTACCAAGGATTACCTGTAGGGATGGAGAGGGAGAGAAATCCAAATGGGGAAAACCTGCGGGGAATCTGATGTCAGGAGTGTAGCGGTTTTTCTCTGCAATATTTCTTCTGCCTACAAGAGAGAATACAGTAGATGTGAAGTTCAGTCTTTGGTGACTAAACTCTATATTGCCTTTCATGGCAAGAGCATGAAGTCACCTCTCTTTTATTCCAGTATGCTAGAGGGAGTCCATGAGAATAGCAAAAGACAACAACTCAGAAAAAAGTGGGAAATTAATTAGTTAACTAACACATATACCTTTGATTAGCTATAAGGAGATATTCAAAGAAGGAACTGAAATCCAGCCTCCTGGAGGGCTTTGGTTGGTATGTGTTTACATGGACACAAGGGCAGCTGGGTGAGGGAGCCCGTGAGAGGAGCACATGTATGAGCACATGTATCCATAGGGTCTCAGTGATGAGGATGTGCTTCCCAGTCACTATGGAATGAACCCTAGAGTCCTGGAGACCTGGCCTGCAGTCTTGGCATTGACATTTACTTGGATGAGCTGCCTGAGTTTCAGTTTTCTCAGTAAAAGTTCCCACCTAGTAGGGTTTGAGGATTAAACAAAGAACTGCATTTAGCACAGTCCCTAGAGCATATTAAAATCTCTGTAAAAGATAGTTACAATAAAATAATGAACTCTTAAGAGAAGATTTAGGAAGAAGGTTAGGTTAAGCATGATGAACAAAAGTTGATTGTGGTCAGAAAATATTTGTGGTGCCAAGAAGTTTAATTCTTTTTAAACTATTGATGATTGTTCTGCAAATGTTTGTAATGAGAAAGTCATTGCATTTTTTGATATTATTTATAGAAAAAGTATTAAAATGACATTGACATTACTTGCCCTTGCTCTCCACACTAGTCTTTGGCAGTTTAGGGGAAAGACCAGGGAAAGCCATATTAGAAAGCAGCATTTTCTAAAATATATGTTCAGAACACAAGTTTCTTGAAAAATCTTTGTGAGATTCACACTGAACACTATTGTGTTAAAGGCTCTGTGATATCCGTTAAGTTAATCTGCTTAATTTTGTTAAATTCAGTACTGTATTTTTCACACTCATTTGGCCCATTTTCTACACCTTTACTGTTAACATCACTGAAACACTTTGGGAAAAGCCTATATAAGGCAATACTTTTCTCCTGGAGAGAATCTGCTAGACTTGTAAGGACAGGGCCAGGCACAGTGGCTCATGCTTGTAATTTCAGCAATTTTGGAGGCCATGGTGGGTGGATTGCTTGAGCCCAGGAGTTTGAGACCAGCCTGGGCAGCATGGTGAAGCTCCATCTCTACAAAAAACACAAAAATTAGCCACATGTGGTGGTGTGCTCCTGTAGTTCCAGCTACTCTTGAGGCTGAGCTGGGTAGGTCGAGGTTATAGTGAGCTGTGATCATGCCATGTACTCCAGCCTGGGCAACACAGTGAGACCCTGCCTCAAAACCAAAACAAAACAACAAAACAAATCAAAAGAAGCATTGTAGGGATAGAATCCAGGAGAAAATAGTCACTTTTTGTAGATGTGGAACTAAAAACCCCATCCTTAAGTTGTCACAGAAATCTTTGCTACTAACCCTGAAGGAATGCCATGCCAGTTTTCTGTGTTGGGCAAAAGTGAGCAATGTCTATCAGGGCATCATTTAGTGAGTATCCACATATTTATTAAATGTTAATGCTTGCCAAACACTTCAGGGTGCACAGAGTCAAAATTTGACAGTCCAATAAAACTACTTGCTAAATGTGGTGACTCATTTTGCGGACAGTTAATTATGATTCTGTAAGAAAAAATTAAAAGGCAATGAAGTGTAGACTAGTGTGAGAGGAAGAGAGAAACAGCTCCACCCAGCAACCTCCTAGGTTTTCTCTATGCTTGGACAGAAGAAGTGCTTATGAAGCACAGAAATATTAGTTTGTCATTGAAAGGCAGAAAGGCCTTACTTTTATTTTAGAGATTGAATCTATATTGAGCTAATTCTAACTCAGTGTGCTTTTATCTCTGCCCCATTCATATACAAAGTGTCTTGTAAATTATATTTTTTCCCCAGGAAAATAGGCTTTTAAAAGGTAGTTCATGCCTCAGCTAGACCACAAAAACCTGTTTCAACCAAATTTTCCCTGAATTCTCAGGACCCCGCTACCCTGATAATAAAAATGATGATTTTCCCCATGTATCTAGTCAACAAATATTTCATGACTTGCAATGTTCTGCAGTGTAAATATGGAAAATGTCTGGGCCTTACTCTCAAGTTGCTTGTCTGGTAGACTATATGAGATATGAACACATAATTACCAGAAAAGGCAGTTTTTGATACATGAAGGGCAAATAAAGTACTCTGGAAGCATTATGATAGGGTGGAGAAAGACTTCTTGGAGGTGGCATTTAAGTTTAGTTTCACAGAATGGGTAAGGATCTAACAGGCAGAGAAAAAAGGATGGGAACTTAAGACAGAATGCTTTGAAATCCTCTCTTAAAAACGATCCAACAGGAGCCTTGTAAATGATCATTGCTCTATAGTTTCCTCATGCTAAGTTCTGCAGAGTTGAGATAATTTCCAAAAGTCTGACACAGCAGCTCTTTTTCTCACTAGGGTATGAATAGCAGAACAGCAGTTAACAAGTCTTCATGGTCCCAGAGAGAAATTGTTATTTGCTGACTGCATTGTGCTGAAGTAAAACTACAAGAGTGCATTAAAATCCTTTGTAAAGAAGGTTGAAGACATTACAAAAATGCGTGGGCATCTTGGGCATTAATATTTGATTCAATATCTTTTAGTTGCATATGACATATTTTGATGGAGGAGTCATGTATAGATATAAATACAAATTGGAGAACCACCAGGGCCACTGCTAGCTGTCTGTAAGACTCCTGGCTGACAGGATCCACTCAGCCTCATCCCGTACACAGACTTTTTGAGGCCATATTCTCAAGTAAAAAGAATCAAGGGAAGCCTTTTTCTGTCTACTCCATTGTCTATAAATGGAAACTTCCATTCCTCCTCAGGAAAGCTAGGAACATCATGCAACTAACAACCATATCACACCACACCCAGTAAATATTGCTAAAGCACCTGCTAAACACCTACTAAGGCAAAGTCCTATGTTCAGCGACAAAAAGAAAACATTAGTTTCTACTCTTCAGGAGCTCAGAGTCTAGGGGAGGGACAGACACAAATAACTAGTGAACATGAAAATGGCAAAATAAATGCTTTGAGAAGGGAGGAGGGAAAGATGAGATCCTGCCAGTACCCCACGTATCCATTTCATTGGAAACGTTTTTCTCTATTTCCACTCATAAACCACCTGCTTGGGACTCCATTGGCCATCACCAACACATTTTCTTTTTCTCTGTATTTCTTGTCTAGCTTAACCCTGCTAGAGCAGCTTCTTTTGCTGATGTGCAAGAAGCTTTTATTCATCCCTTCCGATTAGCCAGGGTTCAATTGCAGTCCACCGAGCCCATTCAAGTTAGATTAAGGAGAAAGGGATTTATTACAGGGTATTAGGAACTTACAGATTTCTAGGGACAGGTGAGAGAACCAAACATGAATGCCATACAGCAGAAGTAAGAAGCCAGGAAGAATGCTCAGTTACTCCCTGAGGCTGTTCCAGTGGAAAGTCCATAGCTGCAGCCACCTGTCACTCAACATTCATGAAACTACCACCTGAACACCAGAACCTCTGCTACAGCTGTTGCAGATGAAAACTCAGCACTTTTATGACTAGTGCTTGCCAGAAGGGGCTTGTGGCCTTGTTGGTTTTACTTTTTTAAATCCAAAGTCTCAGAGGGTGTGTTTCCTTGGCTGAAGCTAGTCATGGGCAAGGGATGTTTGAAATGGAGGTGTCTCCATTTTCAGTGTCTTCTTTCAGTGTCTTCCATTTTATCATCGCTCAGACTTTTTGCCCTTAGAGTTTGAGCACAGGATTTAATAAACATTTAATGATATGCTCAGAGGAGCCTGGTAGATAATACCACTTCAACGTCTTACCAAGTTGCAGTGCTCTGAATGGGTTCCCTTAAATTCATGTGTTGGAAACATAATCTTTAATGTAACAGTGTTGGTGGCTGGGGCAGAATGAGGACTCTGCCCTCATGAAAGGATTAATGCTGCTATAAAAAAAGCCTGCAGGAGTGGCTTTGCTCTCTTCTGCTCTTTTGCCCTGTGAAGATGCAGCAAGAAGACCCTCACCAGATGCCAGTGCCTTGATCTTGGACTTCCCACCCTCCAGAGCTGTGAGAAAATGAATTTCTTTCCTTTATAGTAAACAGTTGATTCAGATGAGCAAAGCCCTCTGTACCTCTAGACTTCTCCCAATGGTCACCTGTCAGCTCCTCAGAATAAATATTTTTCAGTGGAATTGGTTGACTTCTGATCTATGCGCCTGTCAGAATCTGATTCATATTTCTCTGACAAAACCCCTATTTATATAAATTAATCAACTTAAGTCTATTTTTAGAGGAAGCAGAATTAAAGATATTGCCATAAATTTCTCATCTTTGAAAATTAGGATTAGGTCTAGAGGAAAGTGCATCTTGGAATCAAGCTCTAATTTTCTTTCTAATCATCTCCCCATTTGTTTTTTCTTGTTCTTCTTCTTATTTAACAACGTGATAAGTATCTTTACCATATTTTCTGTTTTTTCTCCTGTCTCTTTCTCCCTTCCTTTCCTACTCACTTTAGTTTTGTCCTTCCCATTTCCTTGCTTTTTTTTTTTTTCCCATTCTTTCTTTCCTAGCAGTCCTTCTTGGGGTAAAGGTACAGGGGGGAGGATTGTCTTTTAGATCAGTAATTTTTCAGATGGGGCGATTTTGACTCCCAGAGGATATCTGGCGATATTTGGAGACATTTGTGGTTATCACAACAAGGGAGTGGGGATGCTGCTGGGGACCCCCTGTAGAGAATACTGGGTTGAGGCCAGTGATGGTTCAGAACTTTCTACAATGCACAAGACACCTCCCCTCAACAAAAATTATCCAGTCCTAAATATTGAGTGTCAGGGTTGAGAAATCATGCTTTAAATGATGCTGATTTTATCTTATAAAGAACATAGAAAGTAGTAATTCCTAAGAAACTGAGATGTGTTATGTATGTTTAAGATATATTTCTTTCCTTAAAATTTCAGGTCTGGGAATCTGGGAAATTAGGTTGAGAGTATACACCCTAGTAGCTTCCTATCGAGACAAAAACAAGAGGAGGCAGAGTGAGAACAGTGCAGAGGGTCCCTTATGGTAGGGTGACCAGTTTCTCCTGGTTTGCCTGGGGCTTTCTGGGTGTTAGCACTGGAAGTGAACATATAGTAAGCAGAGCTCAGGAGCGGTGAGAGACCTCATGATGTCCTGCTCCTCTCCTCTCTTCATACCCAGGGTTAGATTGACAGCTGGCCCTTCGATTTAACTCTTCATATACCACAGTGAGTACAAGGTTTATATATGTAGACTTGCCTCTTTTGGCAGCAATGATTACAGTTTCAAATAACAGACAGAAGAACCTGTTAAAGCTGTATATATATATATGTGGAAAATGTGAAAGACAAAGCTTTCTTTTATTTTTTCAAAATGTATACATGGTAGCTATGTGCTAGGAAAAGTAGATGTGAATAAAATTATGGTAGAAATTTTCATCTAGGCATTTTACAGGGTAGGTGAGGTTACATAGTCTCTGGGTTACTGTGACAGTTGTGACAGATAGGTTTAAAGGATTAAAGATCAAATTAGTGAAGAGAGCAAGGAAGTCTATAAATGTCTGGTCTTATTGTAATTGAGATGGTTAACCATAAAGCAATGAAGGGAAACCCATAGAAAACATTTAGTTCACAAGTGGAAAGAATAGTTAAAACTTACATCTGTGTAGGCAAGGAAATTAGGATGATAGATATTTTTAGTACCAGTTCTAATAATTCTATTTAATTGAAACCAAAAGCCTAGATGCCATCACACATGAGATGTGATATTAGTGGTCCAATTTATCTGGGTCACTTGACCATGAGCAGACAGTGGAAGAGGGAAAATTGACATCTACAATTTATTTCCTCCCTGGATTACAAAGCAGAAGAACTACTAGCCAGGTTGTAACCTAACTAAATTGGTCAGTAAAACCAATCACAGTTTTATGGAGTCTACTCTAAAGCCAGGAAAGATAAACTATAACTCAGCAGAAAATTTACCAACATGCCAGAGTTAAATAAGAAAAAGAAGTTGCATGATTCTTACTGGCAACAGCTAACCTTAATAAAAGTGGATGTGGCGGTTGAGATGCGCAGGCCACTGGGCTAGATATTACCAGGAGCCCTTGGGCAGTTTCCACACAGGGCTAGGATGGGGAGCAGCTGCAGGACTGGGCCCCACATTCCTCTGGTCCTTGGCCTTTTCAGGACCTTAACAGCATTACCCAGGCAATGGAAACTTGAGTCCAGTTAATTCAATTGAGTCCAAGGTCTTGGACACCAGAGATGCGCTGATTCTATCAACCTTCCTTCAGTTTTTAGCCTCTGTATTTTTCCTGGGTGTCCACCCATTTTCCAAATGGGGATCCCTCCTGCCCATTTTTTACACAGTGTTTCTGGCACCTCAGCCTCTTCTCACAGCACTCCTTCCCCCTTCTGGCCCTAACCAAGACCTTTCTTTCATAGGTCAGAAGACATGATCTATGTCTCATCTGACGACATTGTTTATCTGTATCCCTCTAAATGAGTCTATAGTTCTCCCCCTCTGTATCTCTTCTCACTCTCAATAGCTTCTTTGATACCATTTCTCTTCATTCCCAAAACGTTCTCCCTGCTTTGAAGATCACACCAGGCCTTATATATTCCTCTCCAGGCCCTGTTGCCATTAGCTCCATGGGGACTTTTCTTGTCTCCAATTTCTGTCATCACCTGAGTAAATTCTTTTGTCATATAGACAGTATATTTAGCACCGTATTTCCAAGTCCTTGATCTCAATACCAACGGCCTTCATCTCTAAGCCACCTCAACCGTTCTCATCTACAGCAACACGTTGCCATCATGGGACTGTTCCTACCTGAAATCTCAAGCTCGACAGCCCTTTTCTAGGAGGGCGCCTCCCATGTGTTCCGCCATCTCTATCACCCCAACAGTGCCTGCATCTCATGCTTCTCGATTACTGCTTTCTGACTTCCTTCCGCACCAGCTTAAATTGCTGCTGTTCAACATAATTTCTCTCTCATTAATACCATCATATATCTCTACTGCTTATGTTTTTGACATGCATCATCTACACACTTCTAATGCCACAGCCAGTCTGTTGAATACTGTTGGAGAAAGTCACAAACTGCATATTTGTGACTGTACAAATTCATAACTTCTAATATCCTTTGGGCCTCAAGATCCCTTGCCACTTATCTTCCTTTCCTTTTTGGTGAGTGCTTCTATTTCCCTTAACGGCTTTGTGTTCTCTGTGACGCCTGTCCCAATTTCTCTTGGTGAATGGACCATCCCATTTAGCTACCTTAAAGCATGTACAGAACATAATGGCATTTACTTGCAAATAAATAGCCTTAGTTTCTACTTATGAGAAATTAGAGATTATTAATCAGGAACTTCTTAGTTTCTTGTCTCCTTGTCTACAGACTTATTTACATCTGTATCATTCTCTGGACCCACCGGAGGCGTTATACTCCCTGCTCTGTTCCTCCTGTCTCACTTGGAGCCTTGCTCTCTCAACGGTCTACTTCTTTCTACTGTTTTCAGCTTTCTCTCTTTCTTTCCTTATCTTAACATGTGATCAAGTTCCTCCATTTTGGCAAAATCAGAACAAAACCTTGCTTTTATTCTATAGTGCTTTCAAATATTTAGACAGTCTCTCTTTTCCCTACCATAGCTCATTCTTTTCAACATCCTGTTTACTAAACCCCGCTGCAACCTGGCCTCAGCCACTGACACACCGTTCTCACTAAGATCATTGTGGGAATAGCCTGTGCTTGCCTTATGTCAGCTTTTCTGCAGTACCTGACACTTGGGAACCCACTCCTATTTTTAAGGCTCCCACATTCCCTTCTTTACATCAGCAGTGTGATGAGATGAACTGAAGAGGCCAAGAAGTGGCCCACATCTGTGCCTTGCACATGCCATTCACTCCCCCGGAATGTTTTCCTCACCATTGCCCTCTGCCTTTTCTGCCTAGACGAATTTTCATTTATTCTTCAAATTCTGGCTTAGATGTCACCTCCTTTTGGCAGACTGAATTTCTCTGTATGAACCTCTTGTTACTAAGATAGCCTGCTTAACTGAAGATCTCTTTCTTCATGTTGGACTTTCAAAACAGTCTCTTAGTTATAAAGACACTTATTTTAAACCAGAAACAGAAAAAATAGAGGAAATCTCAGATTTTTTTTTTATTGCTTTTAAGGAAAACATTACATATATTTTTCTATTTGTATGCACTGGCAGTGTCAACATAGTCTGGCTGGTCATTTCTCTCTCTAGCTGTTCTATCTTTATCTTTTCCCCCAGTTTTAATGCAATTTTGATTGGCATTGACTGTCTAATTAGCATTTACTTCTAGCATCGAAGCTGGACTGACATAAAAATATTTACAATGTTTAAAACACAAAATGAATTAAAAATTTTTTTTCAGTCTGAGGTATAAGAAGGCAATTGGTTCATTCCTTAACAAATAGAATGATTTTAACAATGAGAACACACGGACACAGGGAGGGAAACATCACACACTGATGTCTGTTGGGAAATAGGGGAGGGACAGTGAGGGGTGGGGAGTTGGGGAGAGATAGCATGGGGAGAAATGCCAGATATAGGTGAAGGGGAGGAAGGCAGCAAATCACGCTGCCATGTGTATACCTATGCAACAGTCTTGCATGTTCTTCACATGTAACCAAAAACCTAAAATACAATTAAAAAAAAAAGAATGATTTTTAAAATACGTGATTTTCCTTGTAGCCTGATATATGCCTTTGCTTTGTAGGAGAATTACAGGATGTGGGTTTAGAAGAATATTGTCTTTTTGAAGGTCAAAAATTAACTCAAATATGAATTAATATTCAACACCACTGAATGACATTTCATCAAACACTTTATGTTTGGTTTTAATTTGTAATTTTTCAGAAAACAGTATTAGCTAAGTCGATGAACTGTGATGACACCAAAGTCTTGTCTACAGTGGAAAAGATCTCCTTTGCTAGGGCTCTGGACTGACTCATGTCTTTTCTGTTGCTTATATGTTAATGGCACTGGTGTCACTGATACTTCTGTGCCCCAACACCACGAAGATTAATGGCAAAAATGATTCTGGCCAATATGGATCTTAGATGTTGCCTGTCTAGACACAGTCAGGATTACTGGAAACCTGTCTCTCTTTTTTTTTTTTTTGTATTTCATAGATACTTTATCCTTTTGCAGTTAAACCGTAGTCTCTAAGGGGACAGACAAATCTTTCCAGCTTTGATATTTCACAGGGATGATGGGTTTTGTTTCATGTTGTTATAGTTAGCTACACTTTCCTCCCTATATCCTCATGAGTTAGTGGAACAGGTTTATCCAGTGGCTTTGAAGGATACCCTGAGCATCTTGCATGTTATCATGCATACTAGGTATAATGTTTTTGAAACAGCTCCTTTTTATGCTTTTTTATTAGGTATTTTGTACATTGTCATGAGTACTAGGTATAACACTTTTGAAAATGCTCCTTTTTTTGCTCTTTCATCATATGTCTTCATCCATACACTACATCACCGTTATGGTTGGGGCAGGATATGTAATTTGAATGCAACCTATGAATGGAGGAAGGTAGGACATGGGGATGTTCTATCCCAACTGGAAGAGTGGAGAGAAAGCCCACTGCTCCTGGATCTGAGGAAATATAGGTAGAATGAGTGGGTCAGAGGCAGAGTGGAGAAGTCAGCATGTTCTGAAGGGGCCCTTTGCAGTGAGGAACACTCAGGATTGGCTATGGGATGATGCTGTGTGGACCCAAAGCTTCTCCTTTCTCCTCTCTGTGCTTAAGCCTTTCTCTATACCCAAACACCATTTTGAAGTAGGAGGAAAACTGAAATACTGAGTCTTTAAATCAAATAAGATGACTGAATCACCTATAGCGATTGTTTACAATGGTCCTTCTGAGTTTACTAGATTGGACCAAAATGAACCACTCTTAACTCTTCTGCCCAAGTGTTATGGGCTTGGGAAGATGATTAGTCAAACACAGCAACAAATAAGTGATATTTTTCTTTGTACAAATGAGTATATTTTGAATGTATGTGGCACTCTGTTATACACAGAGAAGGAGACATACCTCTCTCTCCTAAAAACATCGGGTCCATGGTCATAAATGTGGGTTAAAGCTATGAGTCAGGAAAGCCTTGCCCCAAGATAACATTGGCTAACAAAGCCTGAAAATGGAAAACAGCCCTATGTTCACTAAGGGTGGGGAAAGTGCCTGG